TGAAGCAACAGGAACTCTCATTCATTGCTGATGGGAGTGCAAAATGGTACAGCCACTTTGGAAGACAGTTTGGCAGTTTCTTACAAAACTAAACATACTCTTACCGTCAAATCCAGCAATCACACTTCTTGGTATTTACCCAAGGGAGCTGAATTTACCCAAAACTTATGTACACGCAAAACCTGCATACGGATGTTTATAGCAGCTTTACTAATTATTGCCTTAGCTGGGAAACAACTAAGATGCCCTTCAAAGGCAAGTGGATAAATAAACTGTGGTACATCCAGACAATAGAATGTTGTTCAATGCTAAAAAGAAACGAGCTATCAAGTCATGAAAAGACAAGGAGAAAACTTAAATGCGTATGACTAAGTGAAAGAAGCCAATCGAAAAAATCTGCATACTGTATGATTCCAACTATATGATATTCTAGAAAAGGCAAAACTATGAAGACAGTAAAAAGATCAGTGTTGCCAGGAATTAAAGGAGAGAGAGGGATGAATAGGTGGAGTACAGAAGATTTTTAGGGCAGTGAAACAACTCTGATACCACAATGGTGGATACATGTCATTATACATTTGTCCAAACCCAGAGAATGTACAACACAAAGAGTGAATCCTCATGTAAACTATGGACTTTGGGTGATTATGACGTGTCGATGTAGGTTGATCAATTGTAACAAATGTACCATTCTGATACATTGGTTGATAGTGGAGGAGGCTGTGCCTGTGTGACGGGAACTCTCTTTACTTTCTGTTCAATTTTGCTGTAAACCTAAAACTACTCTAAAAAATAGTCTATTTAAAAGAAAAAAAGATACACACTGGAATCTGAAGATTCAATTCAAAACAAAGAATGCAAAATATCACACTAATAATTTCAAGTATTCATTCAATAATTTTTTATTCATTCATATAATATTTTGGAAATTTGAATCAAATAAATATATTATTAAAATTAACTTCCTCTTTTACTTTTTGCTTTTTTTAACGTGGCTTCTAGAAACTTGTTAATGACTTACATGGCTTGCATTATTTTTCTACTGGACGACACAGGTCTAAATCTTCAAAGCAACCACACGATGTAAGCACGTTATCATCTCACAGATGGGAGAACCTAATGTAGCAGATGCCGCCAGTGCCCCCCATAACCCCTCACCCCTCCCCAGGGGTCACCTGCAGCTTCAGTGGACCGCCCCTGCACAGGCCCACAGCTTCGTTGCACCTCAGACACCTGCATCTCTCTGCCTGAGGGGCGGGCCAGGAGTATGGGAGAGTTAGTGCTTCTAGGAACAGCCCTCAGCCAGTGGGGGTGAGGATTGGTGGATAAATACCCTGGCTTCCTCACCCCAGGGAAGGCATGTTCTCCACCAGCTCTCAGAGGGTGCCCCGTGGGATTAAGCCCACTTCTTCACCCCCTCACCACACTCCTCCCCTCCCACTTGCACCCAAATGTTCATCTCAAATTCTACTGTTGGAAGATCCCAAACTAAGGTACCAGGGGACAGAGCTGAAGACTCTCAGAGGTCATATAAATAGGAAGAGATGGGCTGGCTGTTTGATCCTGGCAGTCCACCACCAGATCCCACGCTCTCAAAAACCACACTCTGCTGCTTCCCCTGCAGTAGCCACAACGTTCCGGTGACAGAACGGGGGAGACTCACCCCTCAAATCTGCCCACCCTTTGAGTGGACCCCAGAGCAGAAAAGCCCTTCTCTGGGTTCAGATGATTTTATCAAGAGGCTGAGCAGGCCTGTCTCCTGCAGGCCTGTCTCAGACGCAGCCTGGCCTGCCCAGAGCTGTCCCTTGGCACCAGTGTCTGCTTCCCGGCTGGAGGGAAGCCAGGACTGCCAGCCAGTGCCTTGAAGGGCACTCGTCTTCAGACCAAGAGGACACACTGTGATCTGGGACCCAGAGAAGCTGGAGGTGGCCAGCATCCAGGGAAAAACTTACTGAACCCCTTTATTGAGTTTACAGAGTGCCGGGCACAGTTCTAAATGCTTTATGTTGGGGGTGCAGTGGGGGGAGTAATAAATGTATATTCCTCACAGCTACCCTTTGAGATATGCACAATTATTAGTCCCATTTTATAGATCAGGAAACTGAGGAACAGAAGGGGTAAGTAAGTTGCCAAGGTCACACAGCTACCAGGTCTAACAGGAAAGATTCAAACTCAGGCAGGTTGGCTCTTAATCATTCCTGGATCCTGCCTCTCCTGAAACTCCAGGTGAGTCTGCTGCCAGCTACGCACTCCGAGCTCCACTTAGAGTGCCAGTTCTGCAGGGACTTAGGCATGAACTTCTGCCCGATCCCCGACCTTGGTAGAGCCCCCCTTGGATGGAGGGGCTAGCAGGGGAAGGTGCCCTCAGGACTGGGAAGCAGGAGGCTCCAGAAGGAGGGACTGTGATCACTGGAAAACAGCACCCTTCCCTTTCCACCCCTGCCCCAAGGCCCCTCTGCCTCTTAACAAAGATCAGTTAATGAGCATAGCCATTCAACTTCAGTGTATTTATTTATTCCTAGCCTCATTTCCAAAATAATTTAAGGAGACTTAAAAGAATAGATGCACAGTTTCTCCACCAAAGGTACTCTGATAAATAATGCCTGATTTACGGCCTTAATGGCCTTGTAATTGACACCTTGATGATGTGATACAGTTAGATCATTACACTTAGAGTGACCAACTCATTCTGAATGTCTTAGAACTTTCCCAGTTTTAAAACTGAAAGTCCCTTGTTCTGGGAAATCCCTCAGAGATGGGCAACAGGGACAGTTGATCACCCTCCTTACACAGGAGGCAGGCCACAGTCTGCCTGCCAGAAGACTAAAAATTTAGCTCAGAGCTTCCTAACAGCCAAAGCAAAGACAGAAATACCATCTGTTATGAGATTTTCAGTGTCTATAATAGTACTACCCACTGGAACTTTCCTTAGTGATGGAAACGTTTTGCACTGTCTAATATGAGAGTTACTAGTTACATGTCTCTATGGAGCAATTAAAATGTGGCTAGTGTGACAGAGGACCTGGATTTTAAATTTCATTTCATTTTAATCTATTTAAATTAAATAGTCACATGTGGCTAGCGGTGACTGTATTGGACAGCACAGTAGTGTCAGATAAAAAACAAAACAGGTGAGGGCCAGTCCAGTGGCGCAAGCGATTGGGTGCGTGTGCTCTGCTGTGGCAGCCTGGCGTACCGCTTGTCAGGCCATGCTGTGGCGGTGTCCCGTATAAAGTGGAGGAAGATGGGCACAGATGTTAGCCCAGGGCCAGTCTTCCTCAGCAAAAAATAAAAGAGAAGAAGAAGAGGAAGATTGGCAGATGTTAGCACAGGGCTGATCTCCTCACAAAAAAAAAGAAAAAAGAAAAAAAAACAGGTGGTCAGGAAAAACCTCTCTCTTAATATTGAGGCTTGACAAATTTCTACCATGAGCTATCACACTTGAGATGAATACAGAAGTGAGTCCCACCTCGGTGCTTTTCTTTTCTTACATATATGTAGCAATAGCAAGGACTTCTATAGCATAGTCCATGTGCTAAGCACTCTCATTAAACCTTCTCAAACGTTCATTCACTCAGTTCTCGAAACCATGCTAGCAGGTAGGCTCTTTCAGTATCCCCAGGAAGAAGGTTCCTTCTGGGAGACCCTGAGACGTCTAAGGCTCCTCCTTCCCCGGCCTGAGAGGAAAGTACCGCAGTACCTCGGTACATCCCGTCCCCCTGCCCTTCCCTGGAGACAGCCAGAAGCCGGGGGAGCAGACGGAGAGGGAGAAAAGGGCAGGGGAAGCGGGAAGAGGGAGGAGACCAGGGAGAGGGGCTCCCACATGCCCCCTCCCCGCCCCCAGCGGGCACTGCGTGACCCGACATTGACTCAGTGGAAAAAGTGAGCAGCGGCTGGTGACTCCCTGGCACCAGAGGGCATTCAGGATGTCGGAAGGAAGACCCTGTTCTGCCAGGTAACAGAGAGCACCTGCACAGCCTTAGACAGGGAGCCTGGGCAAAACGTCTCCTCCGCGTGTGCTCTGAACGCCCCCTGACGCCCCTCACCACACTGGCCCCTTCTAAGCCTAAATGCCAGCGTCTCTGAAGCCTGCTGAGCCCCTTGGGCAGCAAAGGAGGGGCAGGCATGACCCCCCCACTCCGCCTGTGACTGGGAAGCTGATGACTCCAGGGTCAGAAATAACCCCACAGTCAGCTCCCCACATGCTGCCCCTCCCCTCCCCTCCGCTCCATTCCCAGAAGGTCTGGGCCCTGAGTCAGAGGGAAGAGCCCACAAGTAAACATGGACCAGATCATCTGCTATGAAAACCACAGAACCATTCTGTGGAATTCTTTGATAAATCAGGGACCAAGTAAAGAGACGAGGCCTGGAAATTCAGATGTCTTTCCCCTAAATCCAGCAGCACTCAGGGCTGTGCAGACCTGTGCTGTGGGGCATGAGGAGGAATGGATAAGAGAGGGGAAACCTTTAGTGCAGAGGGAACTGGGGAGAAGAGGAGAAAGGCCTTACTCTCAGAGGCGTCCAGGCTGGCAACAGAGGAGGAGGGGGCCTATACCTGCCCTCAAGGGGCGTCTAGTTTCCCAGCATGGTGGACACACACACACACACACAGGTCGGGACTAGTCAGAGGCCAGTCCAGAGTAGGGAGGTGGGGGCTCACAGGATTAGGGGGCAGGGCTGTCCAGGTGTCAGATGCCCCTCCTTATTCACCCCCTGAAAATAGTCTGAGATACCCGCACCCCACACCACGGCTGAGTCATGACCCCAATCCTCAGATCAGACCTGGATGAATGAAGCTCTCCCCACTGCCTTCCCTTCCCCTCCGCAGCAGAAAGGACATGTAACTGATTCCCCAGCATGGAAGAGGGACTTCCACAAGCCCTAAAAATAACTGAACCACTTCACGCTCTGAACTTAGCCTCTCCCCCGCACCCCCACCTTGGCCCACCCCCTAGCCAGCAAGATAAAGGCAGCTGCTGGGGCTGGCAGGGGACAGAGACCCAGAGCCAGGGCAGCGAGGAGGCATCTGACAGAGCCCACAGAGCAGGACCAACCCCGAACAAGGAGCTCGAGAGGAACAACAGACACTTAGGACGCACCTGCCACAGACCCCGAGCACCCCATCAGCCAAGCGGGCCCCTCAGGTGAGTAACCTGCCCCTTTGTCTTTCCAGGGCAGGGCTGGCTCTCCAGCCTGGGATCCCCTCTGGGTCCTCTGGGATGGCTCTCAGGGTGGAGGCATGTATTAGGGCGTCTCTGGCTGAGGAAGGAGGTTGAGGGGCCATGCGTCTGGATATAGGTGAATGGAGGGGTCTCTGATATAGAGATTCCATGAGGAAGTTAAGGAAGAGTTAGCGTGAGCCCCACAGGAGCTCTCAGAGTGGCTGCCATAGGCCTGAGGCCCGCAGAAGGGACAGGTTCTTGCCAGTCTGGCATAATCCAGAAAGGCTTTCAGAAGGAGGTGGCCTGGAGTTGTGATTTTTAAAATACAGGATGGCGCTCCTCAGGCTTCAGGGCTTCCTGCCAGGGAAGCCCCAGGTAGGCCCAGTGTCTGGAGGAAAGAGGGATGGAAGAGGGGTGGGAAGACATGGGGACTGGTGGGTGGTAAGCAGGCCCGACCCCGCATTACTAGGACAAGCCCCATGCCCAGCTGTTGTGGGGAAAGTCTTGGCATGTCTGACCCCAAGATGTCTCCCCAGGACTGGCTTGACCCCAGCTGCCCACATATCATGGCCTAGGACCTAGAGTGGGATGTAGACTCTGCCCCAGGGGGAAAGCCCTTGGGGCAGATCTGGGGGGCTCAAGGTGAGGAGACCAGATCCGAGTCTGCCCAGATGTGGAGATGCGTGGAAGGGACTGGGTCAAGGAGGAGCAGACCTGGGGGCAAAGGCAGGGTCACCCTGAAAGGCTGGCCCAGCCCTAGGAGGCCAAGCTCTGGGACAATTCTTGGGGCTCAGGCCCCCATCCTAAGTCTGGTCCCCGCTCTGAATTCTGCCCTCATCCCACCCCATCCCTGCCCTCTAGAAAATTAAACTCCAAGAGTCTCAGGCCAGGCAAGGGCAGGGGTGTGTCAAGGGTCGGGAAATCTGCTTCAGGCCTTGCCACTGCCCTGCAGAGCCTCTAGGACAGCTCCTCTCCCCTCTTCGGGCCTCAGTTTCCTGCCTGAACAATGAGGGGGTTAGGTTCAGTGACCTCCGAGGGTCCTTGGGTCTGACATCCCTAGACTTGGTGATTGTAAGAATTTGTGACCATAGCAGGGATTCTGGAGATTCCTAGGGGTGGGGGTGGGGTGGAGCTGGTGGCCTGTACGTACCATCTGCTCAGGCCACACGGGCGGTGACAGGACAGGGGGGAGGTGGGGACAGGCATGGTTTCGTTTGGCAGAGGGTCCTCCTCAGAACTCAGAGACAAGGACCCACCCAGAGCACGTGATGAGACTCGGGCTGCAGGTTTTAGAGTCCACACTCCTCAGGGCTCCTATGTCTTTGGTGGACCTGCTGGGGTGGGGGTGGGGCAAGCAGGTCTCAGTTTCCCCCTCTTCTGAGGTAGCCACAAGGAGGATATCCTGCCCCTCACCTGCTGCCAGTGTCCCTGCACCTCCCCCCACCCCCAGGCCCCTTTGGTCAGAGGAGAGTTCCAGGCCCCAGCACGGGTCATCTTACAGGCCAGGGGCCTGACGCCAGCTCAGGAGGCTGGGGCAGGATCAAGGAGCCCAGGGTAGAGAAGGAGATGAGGGGGGCCAAGGCGCCCGGGGTCCCACAGGCTGAGCCCGAGCCTCCCTCCCGAGCCTAGGGCTGCTCTGCTGAGGCCAGGACCTCGCTATATTTAGCACCGAGCGTGGAGCAGAGCAGTGGGTCAGGGGCAGCGGGAGGGGGGACGTGCTTCTCATTCCTTCACTACTGGCCTCTGGGGACTGTTAGTACACCTGTCACAAGACAGATAAGACACACAGAGGACAGAGACCAGAGAAGGGCTTGAGGGGTGGGAGGACATTGAGGTGGGGTGGGGCGAGCTGGCGGGAGGCTGCGCCTTGGTGGAAGCGATTGCCGCAAAGAGGGAGAAAGAAGGGACGTGCAGGAGACTCGGCCAGCTGCACACGGTGGGGACGAGTCTCCACGAGCAAGGGTCAGGGCTATCTCTGCAGAAAGGCCCTCGGTCCCACTGCCTTCCCTCCCTGTCAGTGTCGCCCTCACACTCTCCTGAGGTGCCTGCTGGGGAACAGAGGGGCACGTAGCCAGTAGTAGAGCTTCATACCCCCACCCTCTCATTTCTTGGGAGCCAGGCCCCAAATAGGGTGTAGTAACCCCGAGCCAGCATTGCCTGCCACTCATTCACCAAGATCTGACTCTTTCTGGTCTTCAGTTTTCTCATCTGTAACTAGGAGTGGTTGGGCTCGAAGACCTTTGAAATCCCCCAGCTCAGACCTTCTGAGTCTTGCCTTATGGCACAGAAAACCCCTAATCTGGGATTCAGAATCTGGCTCTGCCTAACCATGAGATATCTGGGAACAACTGCCCCTCGCAGAGCTGTGACCACCTCTGCTACCGCATGGGCTGCTGGCTCCTGCTTGCCTGCCTGGGCCTGGGAAAGGTCGGAGAGTGAGTTGAGAGCCAAGAGGTGAAGGTTGGGCAAGACTTCCCGTGAAAGTGGCAAGTGCGCCCTCTGGTGCTATGAAAGGGTATTTCTTCTCCATGGAAGTGGTCACCAATTTAGGCACCCCAGGCCACTCACTTGGGAGTTCACCAGGGAAAACTGATTTTGGCAAAGGAAGGTGAGGATGGAGCATGTCCACTTTGCCCGCCAGAGGTTTGGGCATCCCTGTGGGGCTGAAGGACAGAGCTTCAAGGGCAACAGCAGTGCCCTGCTTACTCCCTAGCAACCCAGGTGACTCTGGGGAAGCCGGGACCCACCTTGATGGACGGCTCCCTATGCCCTAAGTTCAAGACTTGTCATACACCAACCATGCAGGTGGCAGAAGGAGACCGTGGTGAGGTCTGGAGAGGGAGGGGGTCTCTAAGTACATGTCACCACAGGGCTACTCTGGCCCTGGGCCCTGCTTCCTGCTATTTCTCCCAGCAACTAGCCCCCATCCCACCTAAGGCTCCCAGCCCCATCCTAATCTCTGCCCCTTCTCCTCAGGAGGATGGCCAAAGCCCAGACACAGGCAGCCCCCACATCAGCCATCCCCACGGCAACTGCAGCGGACCTCCCTCTCCCCCAACCCCCAGCCCTGGAGGATCTGCCACCACCACCACCCAAGGAGTCCTTCTCCAAGTTCCACCAGCAGCGGCAAGCTAATGAGCTCCGCCGCCTCTACAAGCACATCCATCCTGAGCTCCGCAAGAACCTGGCCGAGGCCGTGGCTGAAGACCTGGCCGAGGTCCTGAGTTCTGAGGAGCCCACCGAGGGTGACGTCCAGTGCATGCGCTGGATCTTTGAGAACTGGCGGCTGGACGCCATTGGGGACCGTGAGAAGCCACCTGCCAAGGAGCCCGTGCCCGGCGGCGACGTCCAGGCCACCTCTCGAAAGTTTGAGGAAGGCTCCTTTGCCAACGGCATAGACCAGGAGCCAGCTGGACCTCAGCCATCCAGAGGGGATGTTCGTGCCGCCCGCTGGCTATTTGAGACAAAGCCGCTGGATGAGCTGACGGGCCAGGCTGAGGCACCTGAGGCTACAGTGAAGGAGCCTGCAGCCAGCGGAGATGTCCAGGGTACCAGGATGCTCTTTGAAACGCGGCCGCTGGACCACCTGGGCTCCCGCCCCTCCATCCAGGAGCAGAGCCCCTTGGAGCTGCGCTCAGAGATCCAGGAGCTGAAAGGTGATGTGAAGAAGACAGTGAAGCTGTTCCAAACGGAGCCGCTGTGTGCTATCCAGGACGCAGAGGGAGCCATCCATGAGGTCAAGGCTGCCTGCCGGGAGGAGATCCAAAGCAATGCAGTGAGGACCGCTCGCTGGCTCTTTGAGACCCAACCTCTGGATGCCATCAACCGGGACCCCAGCCAGGTGCGGGTGATCCGGGGGATCTCCCTGGAGGAAGGGGCCCGGCCTGATGTCAGTGCAACTCGCTGGATCTTTGAGACACAGCCCCTGGATGCCATCCGGGAGATCTTGGTGGATGAGAAGGACTTCCAGCCGTCCCCAGACCTTATCCCTCCTGGTCCAGATGTTCAGCATCAGCGGCATCTATTTGAGACCCAAGCGCTAGACACTCTAAAGGGAGAAGAGGAGGCTGGAACAGAGGTCCCACCCAAAGAGGAAGTGGTCCCTGGTGATGTCCGCTCCACCCTGTGGCTATTTGAGACAAAGCCCCTGGACACTCTCAGAGACAACATCCAAGTGGGTCACCTGCAGCGGGTGGGTCCCCAGGAGGGTGAGGGGCTCATGTATGAGCGTCCATCCAGTGATGGCTCCTCCCCACAGTCCCTTTCTCAGAGTGCCCCCCAGAGGGATGGGGTGAAGGGGGATGTGAAGACCTTCAAGAACCTTTTTGAGACCCTTCCCCTGGACAGCATCGGGCAGGGTGAGCCTTTGGCCCATAGGAGTGTGAATGGAGCAGAAGGAACTGATTCTGCTGGGCAGTCTCAGGACATAGGGTCCCCAGTGTACGCCATGCAGGATGGTAAAGGCCTCCTCCACGCCCTGACCTCTGTCAGCAGAGAGCAGGTAGTCGGAGGTGACGTGCAGGGCTACAGGTGGATGTTTGAGACACGGCCCTTAGACCAACTGGGCCGAAACCCCAGTACTGTCGATGTGGTTCGGGGCATCACCCGGCAGGAGGTGGTGGCTGGAGACGTGCGCACTGCTCGGTGGCTCTTTGAGACCCAGCCCCTAGAGGTGATCCACCAACGGGAGCAGCAGGAACGACAGGTAGAAGAAGGAAAGAGTCAGACAGGTCCCCAGCCTGAGGCACCCCTAAAGGGTGACGTGCAGACCATCCGGTGGTTGTTTGAGACATGCCCAATGAGTGAGCTGGCAGAGAAGCAAGGGTCAGAGGTCACACATCCCACAACTAAGGCCAAGGAAAGGTCCTGCACCTGGATGTTCGTGCCCCAACCCCTGGACAGGCCAGAAGGTTCCTGGGAGCAGCACCTGCAGGTTAGCCAGGTCCAGGCTGGGGAAAGACAGACAGACAGACATGTCTTTGAGACTGAGCCTCTGCAGGCCTCAGGCCGTCCTTGCGGAAGAGGGCCTGTACGATACTGCAGCCGAGTGGAGATCCCTTCAGGGCAGGTGTCTCGTCAGAAGGAGGTTTTCCAGGCCCTGGAGGCAGGCAAGAGGGAAGATGAGGGATGCAGAGTAATCCCTGAGCCCATCCCTGCTGGCTCTGTGCACAAGTTCACCTGGCTCTTTGAGAATTGCCCCATGGGCTCCCTGGCAGCTGAGAGCATCCGAGGGGACAACCTCCAAGAAGAGCAGCCTGCAGGCCCCTCAGCCAACAGGGTGCTGGAGAGGCAGAAGACTGCAGCTGAGGGGACCCTGCGGACTCTGCATGCCACGCCTGGCATTCTGCACCACGGAGGAATCCTCATGGAAGCCCGAGGGCAGGGGGAGCTCTGCCTTGCCAAGTATGTGCTCCCAGGCCCAGGGCAGGGAGGCCCCCATATACGGAAGGAGGAGCTGGTGTCTGGCGAGCTTCCCAGGATTGTCCGCCAAGTGCTGCGCCGGCCGGACGTGGACCAGCAGGGGCTGTTGGTGCAGGAGGACCCAGCGGGCCAGCTCCGGCTCAAGCCGCTGAGGCTGCCAGCTCCAGGCAGCAGCGGGACCGTCGAAGATATGGACCCTGAGTTCCAGCAGTTGCTGGCTTGTGGCCTGGGGACCTCGGTGGCGAGGACAGGGCTGGTGATGCAGGAGACAGAGCAGGGCCTGGTCTCACTGACCGCCTACTCCCTGCAGCCCAGGCTAACCGGCAGGGCCCCTGAGAGGAGCAGTGTGCAGCTGCTGGCCAGCTGCATAGACAAAGGAGACCTGAGTGGCCTGCACAGTCTGCGGTGGGAGCCACCAGCTGACCCAAGTCCAGTGCCAGCCAGCGAGGGGGCCCAGAAGCTGCCCCTGACTGAGAGCATCATTCATGTTCCCCCACTGGACCCCAGTATGGGGGTGGGGCATCTGAGAGGCCGGGGGGCTACCCCCTGCCCACCACAGGCCATTGGAAAGGCAGTCCCTCTGGCTGGGGAAGAAAAGCAGGAAGACCGTTGCACTGGGCAGAAAGGGATGGCAGCTTTGAGAAAGTCAGAAGGAGCCACAACTACACCCCCAGGGCCCGGGACCCCAGACCCCCAGGCCGCCATGCAGAGTCTGCGAATGGCAACAGCCAAGGCCCAAAGCCTGCAGCAGCAAGTTGTGAACAAGCACAAGCAGGGCCCCACCCCTGGAGCCACCTCCAAGCCCTTCCAGGATGGTCTTCGGCAAGCACCGGCCACGGCCACTGTGGCTGCCCAGAGCAACACCAGCCCGATGGCTGGAGGTGACCCCAGGATGCCAGCAGTCCCCAGAAAGGTCAGTGGGGAACAGAAAGCACTGCCTGGAGGGCTGCCGGAGGGGTGGGTGACTATTCAGGACGGCATCTACACTGCTCACCCCGTGAGGACCTTTGACCCACCTGGGGGTGTCCAGCCTTCTGTGGGGGAACCCCTGCCAAGGGGTAAGGAGACTGCCCTCTCGGCCCAGGCTCCCAGCACACTCTTGGAAGGCCCCGGTCAGAGTCTTGCGCCAGGGCAGGAGGAGCCTGGGGGCTGCACACGGAGGGCCTGGGGGCCTCCAGAGAAGGCCATGGCAGGAATAGGCCCAGGGGGCCTCCAAGCTGCAAAGACCACCCTGAAGGCTGACCCTTTAGCTCACCACACTCTGGCCTCTGGGCCTCGGTCCACAGGTTCCAGCCTGCACTCCCATAATGCCTCTGTTCCTCCTCCTCCTCTCCCAGCTGCTGTGACAGGACCTGACTTCCCAGCCCAACCCCGCCATGATGAGGACTCCGTCCGCCAGGCCTCAGAGCCTCTGCACGACCCCCTTCTCCATTCCCACAACAGCCCTGCTGGCCAGAGACCCCCTGGGGAATCACAGACAAAGACATCAAAACTGGAGCCCACCATGCCCCCAAGGAAGAAGCCCCAGCTGCCCCCCAAGCCTGCACATCTAAGCCAGATCCCCCCTCCTCAGAGGCTGCCCAGGCCCTCAGCTCTGTCTCCCGGCTGCTCCAAGGAGGTGGGGCGAGGAGAACACAGACAAGGTGATAGAGACGCAGCCATCCTTCGGCCAGCCAAGGTCCCCACCACTGCGGGCCAGGGCCCCGTATCTCTGGCAGGATGCCCCGATGGACAGAGCCAGCCCAGCCCCCAACGTGGCCCCAGCACTGCGGCGCCCAAGCCCACCAAGAGTCAGGCTCCGGGCAGCAATAGCCAGAGCCCTGAGCGCCCCAAGCTCTCGGCTCTCAGCAGTGACCCCACCTCACCGCAGAAGAGCCCCAGCCCTCCAGGAGAGAAGCCCATGGAAGGTTCCCAGCCAGGGGCCCCTGAGAGCCCTGAGATTCTGCAGGGAAGCCAGCAAGAGCTCCAGGGCCTCCTGAACCAGGTACAAGCCTTGGAGAAGGAGGCCGAAAGCAGCGTGGATGTGCGGGCACTGCGGAGGCTCTTTGAGGCTGTGCCCCAGCTGAGAGAGGCCTCTCAGGTTCCTGCTGCCCCCTGCAAGCCCGAGGCCTCGGTGGAGCAGGCTTTTGGGGAGCTGACAAAGGTCAGCACAGAAGTGGCCCGGCTGAAGGAACAGACCCTGGCCAGGCTGCTGGACATTGAGGAGGCTGTGCACAAGGCCCTTAGCTCCATGTCTAGCCTCCAGCCTGAGGCTAACGCCAAGGGCCGTTCCCAAGGACCCCCAAAGGACCACAGTGCCCACAAGGTCAGTGTCATGGACAGCAGTAGAGCCAGGCCCAACAGCTCAGGCCAAGAGGTCAGGGGTCAAACTGCAGTCAAGAGCCAAACCAAGGTTACATGCCATGCTGAGGTCCAGAGTCAGGCCAAGGTCAGAAATCACACAGAGGCCAGAGGTCAAACAGCCTCAACTGCCCCTTCCACCAGGGGGCTGGAGACATTGAGAGAAGATTCAGGCCTCCCTCGAGTCAAGTGTCCCAGCAGAGATTCACCCTCCTCCCCAACCTTCATCTCCATCGAGTCGGCCACAAGGAAGCTTCCAGAGGCTCCCAGCCCCAAGGGCAGCCCCGATGTCTCGATGAAAACCACACACCTGGCCCAGGATGTGGGCCAGGCCCTGCTCCACCAGAAAGGTATCCAGGATGAGGTCAAGAAGAAGGAGGTCACCCAGTGCTCTGGACAGCCCGAGCCTGCCCCTGCCTCAGCCAGCCCCATGCCCACCGGGCGGCAGAAGAGTGTTGTGAAGCTGCAGACGGGGTCGGGTGGCTCCCACCACTATGGAGCCATGAGAAGCGTGACTGAGCAATATGAGGGGGTGGACCATTGCAGGAACACAGTCCTCACATCCTCCACCACTGTCACGGAGCAGGCAGAGCCGCCCAGGGGCTCAGGCCCCCACCTTGGACCCCACACCTCCCCCTTGTTGCGACAGTTCCTGCGCAGCCCAGCCGCCCTCAGCGGGGGTCTGGCAGAAGCCGGGATGGTGCGCGTCCCCTGCGGCCACTCCCAGCCAGCTGCCCAGTGAGCCCTACTGCCTCCCACCACAGCCTCCCACCCATTACTGGGGCGCCTCCCTCCAGGGCCCTGGGACTGAGGTGGGTGCCTACCTCCTGCGCACATGAGGCCAGGACCAAGCAGAAAGGGCCTCTTTGGAGACTTGCGGGCAGTTTCCCTTTCGTCGGTTCCATCAATAGGCCCAGTTCTTACAAAATGGGAGAAGAAAGGTTGGGAAGAGGCCCAAGGAGTAGCCCAGGCATGGAAGTAGGATGGGGGCTCACAATTGCTTGTAGAGGGTGTAATACGTACAGACACACGTGCCCCTCACACAGGCCTGGCCCACAGGCTGACAAGCACGAATCTGCATGCCACTGCCTGAGACAGAGCCCCTGAGCGACCCTCCACCCTCAGCCTTTATGTCTTCTATTATGAGTCGAAGTCTTCTCAGTCATCTGCTCCTTAATTCCTGGAGCAGACGGGGCCGACTAGACAGGGGATTTGTTGGTCTCTGGGATTGGTCTGAGGGCTCCAGAAAGGGCCCTGCTGCAGCCCCTTCATCACCATCTCCATCGGCCTGCTGGTCACCCTGGCAGCCCACAGGTCACACAGACAAGGGTGGCAATCAGCAATGTCCCTAGAAGCCGCCTCTCCACCCACACCGCCCCACGCTCTGCACAGTCTGAATAAACCCATTTTATTCTCTCCTCTGCGTGTCTGACTATTTGTGCATCTGTTCCAGAGTCTGGGTTCCCACTGTGGGGGAAAAACAGCCACACCTCCAGGTGCCCGTTTTCCTGGCAACAGTGGTGTTGGAAGGCTCTGAAAAGCCACACCTTCTTCTGCCACTTTGGCTGGGACCCAGAAAGGCCTGCCCACTCCCCTCTTCTCCTCGCTTCCCTCGCCCACCCACACACACACAGACCGCTGCCCCTCCACCTCTGGCCTCCCCTTCTGGAGGTTCTTGGACATCTTCCTGGAGTGGAATCTGACCAGAATCTTGCTCCAGAGTGGGAGAGCAGCCCAGTCAGGCCTGGGAAGGAGGGAGAGCCTCACACCAGAAGGCCGGTGGCCAAGATGGCTGGGCCACTTTTCTCTGCTCAGGCGAGGTGCTGTGTGCAGAGCAGGGGCTCCTGGGAAGGGGGTGCACAGATCCCAGCCTGGAGAACCAGAACAATTTGATGAAGAGCTCTTTTTACTCTTTCTTTCAAAAAGCATTGAGCACCTGCTGCAGGCCAGGCCTGTTCTAGGCAGCAGGGACACAGAGGTGAGGTCTAATGGCGTCCTGCTCTCAGGGAACTCACTTTCTAGAATTAGGAGACAGAGAGACAATGAATAAACAGGAAAAATCGGATCAGGAATAAGGGCAATGCACCTGACTAGGCCATCTGCCCACTCTGGGGTAGGAGTCTTAACGTGACCATGACAGGTGATTGCCTTAGGGGATGTGGCCAAGGCAGACCTCTCTAAAGAAAAAAAAAATCTCACCTGAGATCTGAATAACAAAGAGCCAGTTCTGTGAAAATCAGGGTAGGTGCATGCTGGGCAGAGGCAAGAGCAGAGGCAGAAACCCAGAGGTGGGGATAAGTTTAGCTCCTGGATTTCCTGGATACCCCTTTGCAGGAAGGGGCTGTAGCACTTCGCTTCAGCTGAACAGGTATGCTCTTATCCTCGGGGGCTCAGCCTCCTCACTGCCTGCTCAGCTGATGTGGGTGGGTTCCCCTAGGGCAGCAGAGTTCTGACCTGGAAGAAGCCCATCTCTTGTGGAAGACTGTGGTGTGTGGGAGCAATTAAGATATCAAATGTACCCACCTGAGCCTGACACCCACTTCTCACTGGGCCCCTCGCCACACGTCCCCCTCCCCTGCCCTCTGTGGGCCCTCACTGGATTACAAGTCCCAGCAGGTGATAGCACGACTGTTCTCAGTGTTCTCATCTGTAAAGTAGGCACAATTGTAGTATCTACTATTGTGAAGATTAAGTGAATTAATACGTGTAAAGGGCCTGGAGCTATGCCTAGCATCTGGAATTCAGTGATGTTCACTTTTAGTGTTATTGTAACTACCAGTTTTAATATATCTCCTTTCTCACCTCCAGTTGGAGTCCCTGTCTTGTTCATCTCAGTATCTCCAGGGCTTATCACAAGTGCCTAGAAGGCACTCCACGAATGTCAAATAAACGAAAGCATAGATGAAGGAAATGATTGAGTGAATTCACTGAGTCACCCAGCTAACATTTATTGAGCACCTACTTCAGCCAGGTTTGTTCGAGTAGCTGAGAATATTGCTGATCACGGCAGAATTTATCCTTAACGTCGTGGAACTTAGGTTTAAAGAGGGAAGACAACATATTAGAAGCAGATAAGATAATTTTAGTAAGGGGCGATACTGTGAAGGAAATAAAAACGAGGTCAGTCCACGAGAAGAGTGTCGGCAGTTACTCTAGTTTGGGTGGTGGGGAAGGCATCTCTGCGGAAGTGACCTGAAAGACAGAAGAGCCAGTCCTAATGGCTGGGGGCAGCGTCCTACGGGGAAGAGTGGGGAGACGCAGGTGGATGGGTGGTGAGCGCGCCGACGGCAGCGTGCACCAAGGAGAGCAGCGGCCGCTCGGTGAGGCCTAGCCGGGTGCGCGGCACACCTGCTGCCACACCTGCTGCCGAGCCCCTGGCTCCGCCTCACCGGCTGCGAGGAAGGGGGCGGGGCTTCAGCGGGGCCCGTCGGCGGAAGGCGGAGCGCGCCGCGCCCAGGCCCCGCCCCCAGAGCGGAGCGGAGGGGCGCGTTCCCCCCGCCGTCGCCAAGGTGACGATGACGTCACCGGGCCGCCGGGTTCGTAATGTTCGGGTGGCGGCGGCCGTTGCCGGGAAACGCCATGCGGGCGCGCCGCCGGTACTGGCTCTGCGCGGCGGATGCCGGACGCCAGTACGCGCCGTCCTGGTAGACGCTTGCTCGTAGCCTCCCTCCAGGATTCCAGCGGGATGCCGGGTTCCGGTCCTCACTGCGTCTGTGTCCCTAGTTTGTCCACCAGTCCCCATCTTCTCCGCCATCACCCTGCCTCAGGCCCCCATCCATCCCCCCCTTCCTGGACCACGGCCATAGCCTCCCAAGTGGTCTTCCTCCCTTCCCCCGTCTGTCCTTACAGTCTGTCACCCACCTCTCAGCCAAAGCTCTTATCAAGAGTTTTCCAGACCAAGTCACTCCTGTGTAATACCCTCCACTGGCTTCCCAGCTCACTCAGTCTGAAATCTAACTCTTCTCAGCGGCCTGTAAGACCAGAATGATTTGCCTCTCTGCCTTCCTCTCCAACTTCGTTGCCCCCACTCTCCTCCCCACATCCCCCTAGATACACTGGCGTTCTTGATCTTCACAGAACACACCAAGCTGATTCCTGCCTCAGGGGCTTTGCACTTGCTGTACCTTCTGCCTGGAAGTCTCTCTCCCAGATCTTGAGCGGTTTGGCTGCTTCTCACTCAGATTCCAGTTCAAATGTCTCTCCAGAAAGCCTTTCCTGATCCATACCTCCCCTGCCTATCCCCCACCCCCACCCCCACCCCACCCCACCCCCATCTAAAGAAGACTTCCTCCAAGTTAGCAAGCTATTTTATGTTTTCCTGAGGATCTATCACAATATGAAATTATCTTGCTCATGTATTTGTTTGTTTATTGTCAGTGTTCTAGATACTATTTCTGCATAGTAAACCACCTCAAATTTAGTAGTTTAAACAGCAACCATTTTATGATGCTCATGAATTCTGTGGGTCAGGAATTTGGACAGAACACAGTGGGGATGGATGTCTCTGTGCCATGATGTGTGGGGCCTCAGCTGTGAAGTCAGCAAGGCTGGGGGTGTCTTGACAGCTAGAGTCTAGAAACATCTAAAGAATCACTCACACTCACTTGTCTGGCAGTTGATGCTGGCTGTTGGCTGGGACCTCAGCTGGGATGTCAGCCAGAACACATGTGCATGGCCTCTCCATGTGGGCTGGGTCTCATCACAGCATAGCAGTCTGGAGCTGGACTTCCTACATTTCATCTCAAAGCTCCAAAGGCATGTGTCCCAACTAACAAGAGAGAAGCTGCATTGCCTCTTAATGACATAGCCTCAGAAGTCACACAAAATCATTTCTGCTGCATTCTGTTGGGTACAAGTGAGTCACAAGTCTGCCTAGATCAAATGGAAGTGGTATTAGACACCACCTTTTGATGAAGAAGAGGCAAAGTTCTAGAAGAACATGTGGCCATTTTAGAAAGTGCCATCTCCACAGTCAAGGCTTCCCTCACTAGAATCACCTCCATGCAAACCACTTCTCGTTTGTTTACTGTTGCATATCCAGTGCCTGGAATGGTGCAAAAGCACATAGTAGGTGCTCAGTCCAAGTTTTAGAGTAAATAAATGAAAGTTTGTCTTTCAAGGAGTCGTTCGAGCCCGGCTCTTCTCCCTGTAAGTGTATTTCCTGCCCCAGACCTTGATCTTGGCCTGGTCTGCTCTGGAGGAAGCCCAATGTTTGCATTGGAAGGTGGGAGTCAAGAGTCAAGTCTAGTTTTTTGTTTTGTTTTGTTTTCTGGCAGAGGAGTGGGGGGTGGGGACAAGGAAAGGGCAGTTATTGGGGATTGAGAAATGTGTAGCCAAATGAGGTTCTGGAACAGTATTCTACTGTAAGGGGTGTTGAAAACCCAGTCTGTTTTTTCTCATTCTGAACTCTGGAAATGCCCAGGTGAGGGCTGTGGTTTTGTCCTCTGGGCCATGGGGAGCAGGAGAGTGGCCCAGTGGGAATGGAGCTTTGGAGAGGTGCCTCGGGCAGCAGAGAGGGGGTTGGAATGCCTATTAGGAGCCACTGTAGAGATCTGGGCACGAGGAGGCCCTGAAGCCGCCCACGTGCTTGTTAAGGTAGGCAAATTCTCCCTGCTTTGTGATTGGGGAGGGACCTTCCATTTGATCTTCCCAAAGTGCTGAAGCACTTAACAGTTTCTCCTCTTGTTTTCTCCTTTCCCATGAGGGGCTGTGGCAGAGGGACAAGCCAGAGAAGTCAGCCCAGGGTGCTCCCTGCCCCACGCCCTCACATCAGTCTGCTGCAGCTTCCCAAATCCCTCTTCTTTCCCCTCCCTTTCATCCTCACTG